TTCGTGGCACATTGTATAAAGATGTAAAACCTAGCGAAAGTTCGCGAAACTGACGTTCCCGTAATTAGATTCAACGGTGTGAAAGGGCGACGAAGGGCGGCGGAAAATCTAACCCCCCCCTCCGTCTCCCCGCCTCTCCCTACCGATCCGCCACGGCGAGTGATTATAAAACCCGCCTGCGGGCGGGTACCCGCAAGAATTTCTGATCTTCCCACATCTTTTACGGCGCTATTTACATACGTTTCCGCGTGCCCGTGAAAAACGTTGCTCAAGTATGTGTATCGTTTTCGAAAGAGGAGAGTATCACGGATAATAAAATTATCGCTCGTGCGAGACGAGCGCGCGATTTCACACACACACACACACACACGACGACGACGTAGACGTCACAAACAATCAGGAAAAATATTTATGCGCTAACGAACACGGGGCCGGATTTTTCAGCCGAGTCAGCGGGAAGAGATACATGGCAAATACTAAAATTTTAATGAACACACGGGGGATAAATAAGATCGCGGATCGCTGAATTATTAATTCGAATGTCTTCTTGCCGCGCGCGGCTTAAATTACCCCCCCGAGGTAAATTTTCGCGTTTGTACACGGTCGGCGATCGAGAGACGAGACGAGACGAGAAAGAGAGAGAGAGAGAGAGAGAGCGCGCGCGCGCGATGATCCCTCTGGCACATAAATTTATGCTAAATTATAATGATCGGATGAATTCTTATCTCGATATTCCACGTTATATCGCGCGGTGTACGTGCGCGGAAGCGCAGGAAGCGCTTCACGGAGGAGGGCGGAAAAAAAGGAAGTCGTTATACGTCGAATCTCTCGTGCATCGTTTGATCCCGTAGCTCCGAGACGGCGATGCGGCGATGCACACGTATAGCGGGTGCGGGTATATATACGTCCGGAGAAAATGAAGGAAGTACCTTTGACGTTAATATTTCCCCGACATCGGCGGGCACGTTCCTGTAAACCGTGAAGCATTAAAAGTAATACATAATTATTCACGGTTCATTTCGTTTTCCCATTTCCTATATGTGGTCGCGCACATATGTACGCGTGTAACGCGCGCGCGCGCGTGTGTGTGTGTGTGTGTGTGTACACGTGTGTACGTCAAATGGGCGTGTGCGACGAACTCCGATCTCGCCCGGCAGCTTGTGCGCCAAAGAGAGAGAGAGAGAAAGAGAGAAAAAGAGAGAGAAAGAAAGAGAGAGAGAGAGAGACAAAGGAGCGGGTGAAGAGAGAAAAAGAGAACGAGGTCGCGGGGAAAGTGGGCTCAGAGGGGTTGGGGTGGTGGCGCGGAGACGAGACCTGACTGTCTGCAGGCTTGTTTCTGGGCGCTTTGAGCACATGCATTCTGCTCGCTTCGTAGACCGTGGACGGAGGATTCGCGGCGGAGCAGCGAGCGGAGAGTTAACCAGCGCGCTCGCGAGAGCACTGGCGAAAATAACGCCGTGAAAATCCGCTTAAGCGGAAACAGCCCGTCATCGTATCGATCCGCGCCGTTACCGTCCCGCAAAAATGAAAGATGAAATAGAAAATAAAAAAAATAAAAAAAAAAAAAAACAACAACACAAACAAAACGAGCAAAAAAAAACACAACAGGAAGAAGAGAGGGGGAGAGGAAGAAAGGGAAAGGAAACAACAAAAAGCTCATTTCGCCGGACGCGTTTGAATTTATACCGGGTGCGGGAGTATACGCGGGCGTATCGCGACGGTGCGATCTATACGGGGAATTAAACGCCCGGCTTACAAATGTATATGTGCGCGATCGAGTCGCTTGCGCTTCCCCGGCACGTAGGTTCAATTAGCATAACTAATACCGAGTGCGTTGCCTGGTGTATACCTCTTTCTGTTATCACGTGATATAATCCCACCTCCGCGCGCTGTGTTTCCCCGCTCGGCGTTACAACCCTTTATCGAGAAACGGTGTGGGTTGTATCTTAATTAAACAATTAGTTAATCCATTAATTCGCGCAATATGCAAAACTCGACATTCGAGAAAATTATATACTTGTGGACTGTGGGCGCGTCGAAACAAATTTTGTCAGCGATCGTATCGCGTTCGGATTCTCGCCTCGCACTTGCCTCTCGCGCTCAACATAACGTCGCGAATTCGGTGTCGCAAGAGTTTTCGCCGCTGCTGGTTCGAGGTCAATTATTCGCGATAAAATCCGGCGAATAACAGGAGCGCGACATTATCGGCGCAATTTTCCGTGTTTCACGCGTGTTGAAGCGTCAGCCCGGTTGGATGTCGTTAAGTCGAGTTATCTCGAACGCGAATAATTCCCGACAACGCCCGCGCCCGCGCATACAACGCGGCCGTGCCGTGCCGCGCCCGCACACTACACATTTCACTATCTCCCCGTCATAGCTCGCCACGTACATACGTACATACGTATAACGTACAAACACGCGCGCGGCGGAGAGTTTCACGAGAAGACGAGTCTCCTTCTCTTCTTCTTCGGATACACTTCTTGCGGTGTGTATATACATACACGTCGTACGCGACGAGGTGGCTATATCTTATAAGCCGCGGTCCGCCCACTATCTCAGATCGCTGCTTATGGCCAGACACGATCCTCCGCCGCACCTCCATTTTTCTTCCCGCGCGTAACCTTTGTACCTCGTATTCTAATAAATTCCGATTTGGGTCATCGACGCGCTTCCGGATTGTGCCCTTTCGCTCGATAACATAACGCGCGCGCGCGCGCGTTTCGTCGCGATATAATCGTTCTTTTTCATTGAAAAAAAAAAAAAAAAAAAACACACACACACACACGGGACTGCTGCGCGTATTCCCGATGACGAATTGTACTACGGGAAAGCAGCGGCCTATTGGCCATCCCAATACGCGAAGCTTATCCGGAATACCTACTCGCAAATTAACGCGCGAGTACGTTAATGCCGAATTATAACAGTGTATTTAATCTTTACGAAGTTGGTGCTGCAGGCGATTGTTGGACATTAATAGCATTTACATGATTGATTAATGCCAGCTATGTCATTAATTATCTACGGGCTCGCCACTATTGTCAACCTAGAGAATTGGCGATAATACCAAGCCAATATATACGTATCGCATCTGCATAATTAATGAATTTCGCCATGAATCTGATTTCATGATGCTGACATTTTTTTTTCTCGAGAAAAAATAATACTGTCCGATAATGTCTCGTAAAAAAAAAAAAAAAAAAAAATTGTAAGACAGGTTTAGATGTGAAGAGACTTTTATATTGTAAAAGCGATTTTAAATATCTGTGTAAGTTGAACGACGTCGCGCTAGCTAGGGAGTTGTTGGAAGAGAGAAAGAAAAAAAAAGAAACGACGAGATAGACAGACCAGTCAGTCGCGAACGAGCGTGTCCGGTCGAAAATAAAATATTGATTTTATTATAACAATTTTTCAGAAAAAATAGAAACATTTGACCATATAAAAGAGATTGTATCTAATTTTATATGATCATATGAGATCAGTTTCGAAAATTTGACGCGAGATCTGTTTACTTATATATAAGATCACACACACACACACATGTTTTTATTTTTTCTCGCGCGTCTCTCTTTTATCTCGGCTTGCAAAATTGACGCGAACGCCCACTTGAGTCGCCGAAAAAAAGTTTTTAATTCATGGCGACTTGTTAACTTTCGGATTTCTGTTTCGCGCTGACTTTATTCGGAAAACTACTTAGAGCGAGTGTCGAAGTGACACGTGTCAATGATGTACGCCCCGAGAAAAAAATCGAATGTGATAAGTGTATGAGATTTATACACAAGTGATCAGATTCCGGATCTGATTTCATATGATCATATAAAATCAGACTCAAACTTTGGCACGATCTGATCACTCATGACTTATATGATATATATAACAATATATATGTAACTTCTTATATGATCGTATGTTTTTATTTTTTCTCGGGATTTCTCGCGTCTCTCTTTTATCTCGGCTTATCTCAAAATTAACACGAACGCCCATTTGAATTGCCGCGAAACAATATTTTCGATTTATGGCGACTTGTTAACTTTCGGATTTCTGTTTCGCGCTGACTTTATTCGGAAAACCACTTAGAGCTAGTGTACGTGTCGAAGTGACACGTGTCAGTAATGTATATGCCTCGAGAAGAAAAAACAGAAACATGATCGTTATGAGATTATATATAAGTGATCACAGATCCCGCGTCAAATTTCGAATCTGATCTTATACGATCATATTGATCAATTTGGCGCGATCTAATCACTTTACATATAATTTTATATGATCGTATGTTTCTATTTTTTCTCGGGATGATCATTGTCGATACGGGGGGGAGGCTTATGTGCGGGACGTGAGAACGCGCGCGTATCACGAGAAGGGTGTGTGTGTGTTATTGCTCTTGAAAATGTCCTTCGAGAAAGGAAACGACCTTCGGTGTCCAACTTATTCGCTCGGCTTGTCTCCCGTAACACAAAGAGATTGTCAGCAACACGGTCATTCCTCGACGCGTTCCGTTTTGACATGCATGTGTCAATAACTCGATGACGCTAATACACCTGGTAGAAAAAGAGATTTGCGGAAGAAGGTTTTCTCGTCTACCGTTACAAAGGAAGGTAACGCAAGATCCTTCACTCGGACGCAACGCGTCGTTGTCGTCGTCGTCGTCGTCGTCGTCGTAGTAGTTCCCCCGTGTCGCTCTTTCATTATCATTTAAATTTCCCGCCTTTGACACGTACTGGTAAGAGCGCATCCTTTTCTGGGAAAAAACACCGCCGGAAAAGGCACTCTGCCCTTTGTTGCGGACACTACCTTTTTCGAGGCATTGTAAAAGCAGTCGTGATTGGCGGACGAGGGGGTTGCGGGTGTACGTTGCGAGAGAAGAGAGGGTGGCCGACGGCGTAGAGGGTGGCGGTGGCGCGTTTAGAGGTGGATGGTGCGCAAGCGCGCGTCGAAGGGTTGGTCGCGCCGACAGCCGCGCTCGCTATCACCGGCGAGGGACGTCGGTAGTCGGCATCGGCGAGCCGCGGTACGAACGTCGTTTATTGCTCTATTCGAGTTTCGCGCGGCACTCGACGTCACCGGCGAGAAAGCACGTCGGTCTTTACGCCGCGGCCAGTAGTATTTAAGAGTTCACCCACCTCCGCGGCGCGCGCGAATCAACACGCGAAGGCGAGAGAGCGCGTCGCGTGCGCTGCACCTTTTCATTTTAAGACCCTCGTCCGTAATATTAAAGTCCTAAGCCGGTGGCGCGCGTCCCAGGTGTGGTGAGTGAAACGGATTTTTGTGGCACGACCTTCCAACGCGAACGACAGACGCGCACACACCAGACAACCAATCGGCCCGATCCGGCGCATCTTCCCTTTTTGCGAATCTCCATTTCTCGTGAAATATACTTAATCGTCGGCCAGGCCGAGTGTAGTCTCGAGTATGTAACGACGTGGGATGAGGTGAGTACCGTTCGTTTCTGTCTATCGCCGCGCCAATGCGGGCCACACCGGTGCCGATTTTGCGGCCGGTAATTGTTACTCAATACGTTGCGGTCGCGGGCGCGGAAAGACCGTTGCCGCGATGGTCAATTTTCGACTATATTGCCGACTGTTTCGTGAATGAAGAGTGAAGCGGAAAGTAATTGGCTTTTAACGTAACAATTAGCTAAAACGCGCGAACGGTTTTATCGACAAATATATTTCTCGCTTGTATTTTTTTACGCGCTTCGTAGTGATGAAACGGTAACGATAATAAAAAAAAAAATAAAAATAAAAAGTTTTTGAGGTTTTTTTAGTCATTTTTAATGATAACCGATTCGGAATAATTGAACGTTAAATTAGACATCGAACTGTAAATAACGGCGTGAAAGTTTCGACGAAGTTTTTTTTTTTTTTTATCGTTCTTTTTGGCGTGTTTTGGCGCGTCGGAAACAATATTACGTTTTGTCGGTTGAACAAACGCAGAAATAGATTTACCGCGGAAGATGCAATGAAAAGAAAGTTCTCGACACTGAACTTAGAACATCGAAAAAAAAAAAAAATAATAAAAAACAAACAAACTTTATTTCGACGTAATGTCTACCACAGACGTCAAAAGTTTATCGAAAGTTGATCGATTTCGAAGAGAGACTGTTTGAAAAGTAACTCGCTCGAATAATTTAAGTGCTTTCGCGCTGAAAATGTACTTGAGAAACAATCACGTTAATAATGATTGCATTAACCTTAAGTTACGGACTTAAGATTAATTTAGACGAAATTGTATATTCCTCGTATATATTTAACGAATGTATGAAGAGAGAGAGAATAAATTTAATTTTATTAATGTATAAAATATTTTATTTTACCGGGGAGAGAGAATATTTTTTTTCTTTCTCCCCACGTTTCTCGATAAAAGAATCGAACATTTTTTTTTTAATAAAAGTTTTCGGCATTCGCGATATGTCATCGTATATACCGCCACATTTAAATGCAAAGAATTTTCTATTTTTGCCGATGGTTTATAAATTAGAATTTTAGTTTTTAATAACAATTGTTTCTTTTTTTTTTTTTTCAAAAAATAAAACCCTTCCACGTTTCATTCTTATTCAATAAAGCTAGAAAAACGTTGAATTCTTTCAGCAAAACCTATTGATTGACAAATACCACCGGTATCCTACGTACATACGTGCGAACAAAAATATTGAAAAAGTTCTGATGAAAATTTGGTTTCACTTGTGCGTTAGCACGTTTTGAATACGTACATATGTGTATGCAAAGGATGCATGTGTTTCCGGCGATAGTTTACAAATCATAGTCTATCCAGAGTTTTCTTCAAAACAATATTTCTGTTCTTCAATTAAACAATTTTGCACTTTTTTTTCTACGTGCGGTGAGTCGTTAATATTTCGTGAAAACTCGTGCGGAAGAAAAACTAAAATCGAGAAATTTGACAATTCAATAATCGCGTTGCAATTACGCACAAAGTGCGCGCAGCGCTCTCGTTTGTGTTTTCGATGATGTTGGCCGTTTCATATTGCGCATCGCGTGCTCAATCGTTCGGAGTCTAATAGTTCGCGAAATATAATCGGGCCGCGGTATCGGTATGGCCGCCGAGTTGCAGTTTGTAATATACTGGCAGTACAATACGGTGTTTCTCAAAACTTTGAAGTGGGCTGCGGTTGCAGTTGAATTGCTTCATTAGATCTTACTTATACGACGGGAGGTTAAGACCACCTCGATATTACTATTCCCCGCGCGGTACGGCCGATTCCGCGGTGTGTGAGTTCTTGCACGAACGAATTAGCCGGATTTTCGACGCGGAACAGCAACGCGCTCCGTTATCGAAAAATCCGAATACCGTGTGTGCACCTATATCTAACGTATAAATAAAATACGATCAGTTTTTTATTAGCACGCTCTTCCGTATTTTAAACAAAAATTTGCCCGGATATGTGTTATTATATTATTAGAGAAATAATACACGTTTACAAGATATATATATATATATATATATACGTATATATGTGAAAAATATGAGCAATTTTCATTGGCACGCTCTTTCGTATTTTAAACAAAAATTTCACCGGGTGCGCGTTATTATATTATTAGAGAAACATTACGTGTTTACAAAATATATTATTACAAAACGCAAATATACACATGTTTTTCATGTATTAATAAAATAATGTAATTAAAAGATATTTTATGCAAACATTAATATATAATTAGCTCTCGTTATTACTTTCTGTCGTTTTAACATTTTTTAATTTGTTTCATCGCGTGATACATATAAAAAGAGATATACGTGTAATGTAGTTAAAAAAAATAATTGCTGCGTGAGAGTTTTTAGGAGCGCGACTGCTCTCAAGTGCAATAAACGAGGTTAGTAAAACCGCGATCGTTGGGGGGGAACTCTATAAAAAGCCGGGATGTGCGTGAGCGATGCGAGTGAAGGGCTCTTTCGTTCGTTCTTTTTCGTATCTTTATTGGCCAGACATCGATTAAAATCGGACGTGTTTACAAATTCGTGGAAGCAAAGTAACTATAGCCGCGCGCGATGTTACGACCTCGCGGCACGAGATTCTGTAGTAAAAGGGCGCGACAAATGAGCGCAATTTTAGTCTTTTGATATCGTGCGTAAAAAAAAAAAAAAAGTTCGGCAACTTCGAACACGCGCAGCGGTCTGATTTCGCGGTCGTTTATTCATCCCCTTCCCTCCCTTCGCACGAAGATAAAATGTATTAACTGTCTAAACGTATTACTGTCGAACAACAAAAAACGGCGATTGCCGTTTGAAAAAAATAAAAAAAAAAAGGAAAAAAATAGAAAATCGAGTAATTTTTTATTATTGAATTTTAATTCAAACTTGTGCGCGCGTAGTGCTTTTGACGTGCACAATGATTTTTACATAAGCGTTTTTAATAAAGACATCAAAGATAATAAACCAAAAATATTTCATACGTTGAAAAATTAATTTTTTGTTTCAATTACACGTATGAAATATCATTTTTCTTTGATACTTTCAATACACACACATGTGTGTGTGTGTGTGTGTGCGTATTGAGAGTTTAGATGAGTTTTCTGATTCAATATAAAATGTGAAATCATGCACACTTTATTTAGAATTGCGTCTGATAGGTAATTATTATGTGCATTTTTAAACATCGAATCGTATAGAATATAGCAATAAATTACAACGTAACTACGCATCAAGTTGAAATTACTTTGAGCTCGGAATAGTAATAATGGTCGGCGAAATTAAAGCCGGACTGCGTGCAAAATTAGCTTCATTTCAGTAGGATCATTATTATTTCGTTATGTTAAGAATTCCTAATTATACCGAGTTCGGACGAGTGAGTTCGTGTAATTTTTAACAGGATACATCATCGTTTAACCAATTGCGCCGTTGTTTAATAAATTGGCTGGGGGTGATGTTTGAGCGGTAATATGGACGCACTTATGCTCGATATTCAGTCACTGCGCGGTGATGTGTAAATAAATTTCAGATATAAATTGGCCATGTTGGGCGAACGCGAACTCGAATAAAATTCCGCTCGTATCTCCGTGCGCAACCTTTATTAAAGCTCAAAAATAGTGGTAATTTCTATAAATTTCCGACAAAGCGCTCGACGAGCTCGCGGTTGATTGAACGCACTAATTCGATATTTAATATTAACCCGATGTACCGTTGAATTATAAACACAGCAGGGCAACAACGGGGCACAATAAATTCAACGTAAATTGATCCGTTCGTCCGTCCGTTCGTCCGTTCGTTCGTTCGGTAGACGCGCATGCGATCGGCGCGAACGCCAATATCGGAAGTTAATGAAATACACTTCTGCATTGTAACTTTAATAATATCAGGGCCGACGCGCGTATTTAATTACGCGCCTAAATTTACTCGCCGCCTCACTATCCGAGAGATCTTGCGCAACTGTGGTCGTTGGCCGGCCCGGTAACGACGACGGTAACCGTCATTAACGTTCTTAATGAAAGGGGCTGAATCGCTGAGCACGCATATACTGTCGGATGGGGTTACCTTCGGGGATTAACTCCGCGTCACTGTAAAAATGTTTACGGACCTTTCTTTCTCTCTCTCCCTCCTCTCTCTCTCTCTCTATATATTTTTTTCACCGAGTAATTACCGCTGATACACACCCAAAGTTTTTGTTTCAATACTTGTAAGCGCAAAATTTAATTGATTTTTTTTTGTTTTTTTTTTTAAACAGTAAGTTAACAATAATTTTCACCGCTAATGCGCGCACGTTCACCACCGCGGAAGCGAAGTTAACCCCATTTGGCGCGATACGCATAAAGTCGAGGCACGGCGCGCGAAATAGAGAACGAGACGGGAGTGCGAGAAACAGGGTCGGAGGAACAACGAGAAAGATAAAGAGAGAGAGAGAGAGAGAAAAGGAGAAAGAGTGAGAAAGCACAAGAGGAGTATCTTGAGTGGTCTAGTGGAGTGGTGCACGGAAGAGTGTGCAAGAGGTAAAGAGAAAAGGAAGGGATGGCAAAGGGGTGCGCCTGGGGAGCCGAGGGGTCGGATGATGCCTCCTGGTTTCTCCACTTTCCACGCTCCTTTTACTCCTTCTTCTTTCGCTTCGTGCCGCATCCACTTTCTTTCTCTCTCTCTCTCTCTTTCTCTCTTCCCTTTATCTCCTTTAGCTCGGCCTAGCCTTTTCTCTATCGTATCCTTCCGCGGAACACCCGCCCTCAATAGAGGAGAGGCAGAAGGCGGTCGAATGTCTGCCGGTGTACTCAAGCTCGCCTAGTATCTTCATGGTGGCGCTCCGGAGACCGGAAACCGCGAGCACGAGACAATTCGCGACATGTGGCGGTGCCGCGTTTCGTGCATTCGCAAGAAGTTTCGCGTCTTATTGTTCGCGCTTATTCCCCCGTTTGTTCGTTACGCTGCGCGAATTGTCGCGCGCGCGTGCGCGCGCGCAAAGAATATTCGGAATAATGTGAACAAATAATTT